CTTTAAAGGGGGATAATAAACCCTCCTTCTTGGGCATGTTGTCGGGGTTTGATGGGCAAGATAAAGTCTGTGCAAGTACTTTATCAGCTGTTGTGCAAATGTAAAATTCTGATTTTTAGTGGTAACCACTCCCAGTGAGCTAACCTCTTCTGGTTAGCTGCCTGCCATCTGTCCTGTGCGGTGCTGTATTCGGGCTCTGCTTGGTTTCTCTTGCCTTTTTTCCCCCATTACGCTTGGATATTTTATTTTATTTTATTTTTTAATTGACAAATAATAATGTTCATCTTCATGGGATATATAGTGATGTTTCCATACATATTATATATAGTGATCGGACGGGGTAATTAATATATCCATCATCTCAAGCGTTTATCATTTCTTTGTGTTGGAAGCATTCAATGTCCTCCTTCTAGCTATTGGAAACTATTATTGTTAACAATAGTCATCCTGCAGTGGTATCACTTGCCTTTCTGATGTTTTAGGCAGCCTTTCTCTCTGAATCTAACTCTATTTCTCGGCTTTTAGATCCCCACAAGTGAAAGTCACCCCCTGCGACAGTTCCATTTCACCTCCTGGCCAGACCACGGTGTTCCCGACACCACTGACCTGCTCATCAACTTTCGGTACCTCGTTCGTGACTACATGAAGCAGAGTCCTCCTGAATCGCCAATTCTGGTGCATTGCAGGTACGCAGATGGCATGGCATGTGTCACAGATTTCAGATGTAATAATTGCATATTTATGAGCACTTTACAAAAGCAAGGCGTAAGAGGGAAAGCAATAGGCTTTTAGAAATTTGAGAAAGGTTCAGATAAGGGACCATGGACTTACTACTCCCTAAAGCCCGAAACTCCAGAAGAGGGGTTGGCAAATTACAGCCCCATGGGCCAGTTGCCTATTTTCGTAAATAAAATTTTATTAGGACACAGCCATGCCCATTTGTTTACATATTGTGTATGGTTGCTTTTCTGCTACAGTGGCAGAAAGAGACCCTATGGTCTGCGAAGCTGAAGATATGTACTATCTGGCCCTTTACAGGAAAGTTTGCCAGCCCCACTCTAGGACAATAAGTTGGCTCTAAAGCAAAAGGAATTAATTTAGAACAGAAGAAGGGAGGGGCTTTGTGGCCCAATGGGAAATGAATTGATGAAACTTGCCACCCTGGGTGATGGTGGCAACTTGAATGGCAGTGAGGTTTAAGAAGCTCTAGCAAGGTGTTTTGTGTCGTTGGACTCAAAAGTAAGTTTGGGACTTAGGTCCAAGTCCCAAGCTAGTGCTATCTGGCTTGCTGAGGTTTCAATTGAGCAAATGTTTACCTGGCCATTGCTCTCAAAACATGATCATGGAGGAAAGCAAGACGCCTGTGCTCCTGGCGAAATTGGAGAGGTTCGCAGAGAGGTACCCACTGTAATGTGCGTGTTTCCTTCTCTTTCAGTGCTGGGGTTGGAAGGACGGGCACTTTCATTGCCATTGATCGTCTTATCTACCAGATAGAGAATGAGAACACCGTGGACGTGTATGGGATTGTCTATGACCTTCGAATGCACAGGCCTTTAATGGTGCAGACAGAGGTGAGGCCAGGGTCTGGGCTTGATGTTCCACCCTTCCCATCCATTTTTAAGAGTATGCATTGTGTCACACACCCGGGTTAAAGTATTTCACCCTTCCAGATCTTGCCGGCTCTTAGCTGCGAAACATTGGATTGCTTTGCAGACCCAAAACTGACTTGAGATTAAATGACCTGGTACAAGTGCCACAGCAGTACTGATACCAGTAATGGAACTGCAAACCCAGCCAGCATCAACATTCTTAACCTTGCCGTCTCTGACTTACCAAATAATCTTCGGAAACTTCTGAACTTTGGTTTCTGGATTTGAAATTCATAAAACTGATATTTTTCACTCTCTGTTTCTAAGAAGGTCTGACCGTCTTTAAAATTAGCTAATGAAACAATTTTATCAAATAGTAACTATATGAAATAGCATAATGCCGCTTAAGCATTATTACAGCAATTTATCCTCACCCAGCCTTGTAAACATTAAAGAACGTCACTTATCAGAGCTATAGAAGGATGGCTGGCCGTGTTAATTATCTGTGGTACAATTTCTGTAAGACTGTTGCATTTGACTTTCCCTGAAA